GCTGCTGCTGCTGTTGCTGCTGCTACAGGGTGCTGCTGCAGCCGCAGCAGGGAGGGAGTGGGAAGCTGCATGCGGCGGTGCTGCACCAGCTTTACAAAAATGTTTCAAAGGTAGCTTCAGTGCAGCAGGTATGGCTTTTGCTGCTGCTGCTGCAGCTGCTGCAGGTGGCTGGTTGCATCTGCCGTTGCTCCTGCAGTTGATGGGCTTCTGCTGCTGCTGCTGCTGCTGCTGTAGGTGCTGCGCTCTGCGGTACTGGCGATGGCAACGCAGTTCCCCGAGGAAATGGATGGGGAGGGCACTGCTGCTGCTGCTGCAGCAGACGCTGCTGCTGCTGCTTCTGCGGGGGGCCCTGCAGCAGCAGCAGCAGCAGCTTACTTTATTGCAGCAATATCACAGGAGCTCGACGTAGAAGGCGTCAGGGTTTTAAATCACTTTTTGGACTCCAAGTAAGCTGCTGCTGCTGCTGCGGTGGTTTTGCTGCTGCTGCTGCTGCTGCTGCTGCTGCTGTTGCTGCTGCTGCTGTGGCCTTGCTGCTCCTTCTACTTTGTTTTTATTGCTGCTGCATCTCTATTGCTCTCGCTGCTGTTGCATCCTCGAGTTAAATGCCAAGAAGCAGCAGCTACTGCGCCGTCCACTGCTGCTGAGTCTGCTGCTGCCGATGCTGCTGCTGCTGCTGCCGCTGCTGCAGGCAGGACTACTTCACATTTACCAAGGAGGGAGGAGGGAGAGATCCTGAAACTCTCAGGTGAGATGGCGAGCAGCAGCTGCTGCTGTTGCTGCTGCTGCTGCTGCAGCTGCTGCTGTCCCTGGAAGCTGTTTACCTACTGCAGCAACACAGGCGTCTCCTGCATCACTGCTGCTGCTGCTTCTGGGTTTACTTGCACTTGGCTCTTCTTCATCATTCATATGGCCTTTGCTGCTGCACATCTTCACTCCATTGCTTCTGCTGCTGCTGCTGCTGCTGCTGACACTAATTGCTGCAGAAAGGTTGAGTCCCGGCTTGAAGAGTGCGTGCTGCTGAGCCGCTGCTGCAGCAAAGCACACGCTGCGTTGCTGCAGCAGTTTAGAGCTGCTCTCGGAAGGGCTGCTGCCGTTGCT